GTTTTGATCTGACCGTTGCCTACAATATGACCAAGCACTTTGGCTTCCTTTCTAAGGAATTGGCATTTTCTTGGTTCTATTGTGAGGTCTGCATCGGCTAGCTGTTTTAATAGCATTTTGAATCTTATCTCGTTTTATTTCAAGTCTTCTGCGAATACCATGTTGTCATCCATATATACCGCTGTCACGCGTTCTTGTAAGCCTGCTACTGCCAGTGTTATCACTCGCATGAATGTACTTGGCAAGTCTATGCATCCCATTGGTATTCGTTTATATTGGTAATGTCCGTTTGGTCCTGAGAACGTGGTTTTATGAGCATCCTCCTCGTGAATCTCTACTTGGAAAAACCCGGTCTTTAGATCTACTACGATTATATATTTTACAGCTGCTAAATTTTTCAAACTTTAATTCTGGAATGGCAGTGGATAGCACGTACCGACTGTTAGTTCGTTCGATAGCCGGAAATCTGTTACGACCCTTCAGCAATTTTCCTCGTTTGGTCCCACGTTTTTCGGGACAATCCACATATTTGAAATATATGGGGATGTCAATGGCTCAATTATTTGTTGCTGCAGTAGTTTATCTATTTCTACTTGCATCTGTTCCTTTAGTTTTATTGGATAGCGGACCCTTTTGGCAACTATTGGCTTCTCTGTTGCCGTTATTATTCGATGCTTAAGTAAGTTTGTAGCCTTTAGTGGCTCGCCGTTGAGGCCAAACATGAACGGATTGTACTCTATAAGATCCCGGATGTGGTTTAATTCCTCCATGTTGCAGCCAGATGTATCGACGATTTCCATTATTTTGCTTACTCGAGCCACTATATCCGATTTCATAATATCTTTGCAATTTTCAATGTTGTTCATTATATCATCATTATTTTTACCACTTACGGCATTTCTTTCTTCTATAATTTCTTAATTTTTCACCTTTGCATCTGAATTTTTAGTGTGAAAAAGCCCAATCATGGCTTCATTCAACCCTTCAGCGTCGTCCCCAGTGATGGTGAATGGTTCCGCCCCTTGTCTGGTTTCACATTCGAAAACGTTTATTTCTGGTACTGGCACGTTAATTTGTTTGTCTGTTATGTTTATAATTTCCGCATATATTTTTGAGTTTTTATGTTCTCCTATAAAATTTTCAAATAAGATTTCCTCCTTTATATTTTGTAGAGGGACCCAGCCGACTTTTACGTGGCTGCTCTCATCTTTTATACGCGCAAATATTATTTTCCTCGATTTTGCGTGGATTGTAAAATATTCTGGTTTTAAAAATGAAATTCTGATGCCTTTAAATTCTAAATAATTTTCTTTGGCACTTATGAGGCCATTATACAACTTAAAAGCGTCCCAGCCAATAAGGCCTTTCATTTCTATCGGAAAGGTATTGGGGACTACGTGCAGATTCATTATTATACTGTTAAGAGGTATTTTAGTCGTCCCTAACGTGCAGCGTGCTCCGTGTGTGACGCCAGTTAGTAGGACTTTTTTTCTGCTTTCTATATGCGTGTTTGTAGTGAGATAGCATTCTTTTATAATTGATACTTCGGGACGAGTATCCGCGTAAAATTTTGCGCTACAAGATTGCAGCTGATTGCTGTTTAATATTACTAATGGTGATGTGCTTTCAGTACTCGATATATTTACCTTGCGGAGAGGTAGGTTCATGCTTTCATGAATTTTTTATTTACCAGCTAAAGGGCTACTAGTTATAAATTCTGTTTCAATTCTTTTTTTTTTGTGGGCATTCTCAGCCGTTTGAGGAGCCAGTTTGAAGTCTGTTTCTAGCGATACTTTAATTGTTTTATTTCTCGTATACTTTTTTGTGTGTGATGTCTCGCTATCTTCACCTCCGATTCGTATTTTATTTGACTCTGCTTGCTCCTCTCCTTCAGCTGACTCCTTTTTGTTTTTATGCTCTATCTCCTTCTCTATTCTCGGAGCCCGCTTAGCACTTGGGGAGCACGACGAGTGTCCTGCGAGTTTAAATGTTCCGTGCTACGCGTGGATGTTTTTTTCATCAGGTGCATCATTTGTTCTATTTGGAGGTCCTCTGTCGTTATAATTTTCATCCCTATTATAATTTCTGTTATAATAATAATTTCCTCTATAATTGTTGTAGTTACCGTACTGGTTGTTGTAATTATTATTATTACTTCTTGAGTAATTAGCGTTTCTGTTGTAGTTATTATATCTGTTGTACCCTGTATTGTAATAGGGGTTCCTTCTACAATCGTTGTTATAGTTTTATCTATACGTAATAGGGGGGTAATTATAATTATTCTGGTAGTTAAAATCTCCTTCCGTATTTTCTCTGTTATCATTGCTGAATTGTTCGCGTCCGTCGCTCCGATTTATTCTCCCATTCTCTGCGTCTCTTACTAGTGTGCGTCATTCGCTTGTATAGTGCCCCCTGTGTTTGCAGTAAGCGCAACTATTATCCCTTACGTTTTGTTTATCTTATGATACCTGCACTGGTGGATCATTTGCTTTTATGTCTGGGTTTTGAGTTTTCTTATTCGCTGCGTCTGCTACCAATTTCATACATACTTTTGTAGCATACTCCTTGTATTCATTGCAATATGAGCAATATTTAAAGTTCCTGTTATTTTAATTGTATCTGTTATGTCGCATACTTCTGCTTGCTCATGGCTGCGCACACGATCGTCCGTATCTCTCGTTTTTGCTCTCTCTCGGTATACTTGGGCCTCGACTTGTGTCAGCATTATTTCTCGTAGTCTTGAGTCACTTACCCTTTTCAGTGCGGCTACTATAGCTTCACCTAACATTTTCAGGTTAAGGCGTGTTACCCTGATGTTGTAAGGCGATTGTATCCCGTACGTGTATTGCTTTATGGCTTCTTTTTCAGCGCTCTCCTTTAATGTGTGTCATTGCCTAGGCGATAGTGTCGTATCCAAATCGTATAGGGTTTTTATTCTATCGTATAATTTTTGAACGCGCCTGCTGTAGTCCTCTACTAATTCCCCTCTGTATTGTTTCACTTCTTTTAATTTTGCCAATAACGTGTCAACGCTTTCGATGCTGCTATATCTATTTTTTAATTCTACCAAGAATTCCTCTACAGATAAGAATTGTGCCAGGCACGGTTTAAATTTGGCTGCTGTTTCTTTCAGATTATTTGCTAGTAAGCCTATAAAAAATTTTTCATATACGGGGCTACTGTCCACGATACCACTCTTACCATTTGTTCAAAAAAGGGTAATTTAACGGAATCGCCGTTAAATATCGGTATGTTTGCTGCTTGGTGCCTTATTGATGACAACGTGTTCTGAATTGGGCGTTTGTAATTAAAATTTCCTGTGTCATTTGTAATTTAAGGCGTTTAAGTAATTTCTATTTGCCCAAACTGACTCGTCTTCTTCTGCAGAATGAAGCGGTGCCACTGTGTTCTGTCTATAATGATTATTGTCGTGGTTAATATTGTGAGTGACGCTATCGTTCCCGATTTTTTGCCCGCCTTGAGATACTGGGGTTCACATTTGTGTTTGACGCCGTGTAACTTCTCTGTCCGTCTGTTGTAATAATGGATGTTTTGGTTGTGTAAGTGTAGGTATTTGATTTGTATATTGTTGCACTGCTTGTGCCGCTGCTTCTCTTATTATATCGTGTAGATTTGTGTCGTGTTTGGCTTGTGTTTTATTGCTAGGTGGATTAGTGACTCGTTAATTCATGTTAGTTGTCGCATTTTCACGTTCGGTGTAGGAAGTTGATTTTTTAAATAAGGGGGGTCTATGTGTTTCTGTGTGGGATGGTGCATTAATTTCATTACCGCTTATGTCTTGTCTATGAGATAACTGTCCACGTTTTATGCTTGGCGTTAATTTTCTTAACATTTTCATCATAAAAAGCTTCTGTTTTTTGCTGGCCTTCTGCCACTCTGTGCATGATTCCGGATCATCTTCTAGGTTAATTTGTATTATTTCGTCATCTGCGTCAATTGGTCCTGAATTATCAATATATGTGCACCTCACGACTTCCTGTACTCCCTTGCCCAGTGTATTATTTGTTTCTACGTCACTCATAGTATTGCTCTTTAGTCTCTTTTTTTTTTGTAGTTCGTCTTGTGCTATTTTAGTTCGTATATACATTTTTTTTCTAATTGTAGGACGCTGTCGTTTCTGTGTATTTTGTGTTAGTCTGATAGATACGTGCACTCTATTAAGTGTTAGTCGATAGTCTTTTCTTCGTTTTTGTTTTCGGTTAGCTACTCCTTGTATTTATTAATTAACTTAAAAATTTTGTATGGGGTGTTTGTAGTTTGTATATCGGTTATATGTTTCTGTATGCAATTATGGGTTGCCAATCAAGGTCTTTGGATATTGCGATTTAGAAATAACATCGATATATGAGTTTCTTCCTTTTAGGTACGTATTTCCCTCGGGGGATATGAGTATAGTATATACAAGTAGTGAAAATTCACTTACTAGAAAGGAAAAAAAAAAAAAATTTAAGATAATGAATAAACTTGAATAAATTATAAGGATTACATCAATCAAGAATTTAGTATTATTATTACTAATTTTGTCACTATATTTTTTATCTTTATTGTTATATTTTCTTAAAATGATTTCTTTTATTTAATTTATCAATCGTAGGGAAACTTTTTTTGTTATGAATAATTTATTGTTAAGACCTGATCAGACAAGTTAAGTATGTCGTAGTTTTTTGAGACAAATTAATAATATAAAAAATACATCTTAGCTGAAAATAATGTAGTAACTTTTGGTTTTGCACAATACTGATATTTTTATGTTTTCAATTATCATTAGAACAATTGGAATCAAAGTTTTATTTGTCTTGACAATCAGCTTAATAGTTATGATTTTATTTTTGTTATTCGATTTTTACTACTGACTACTTTTAGAACTTTATGTATTTTTCATTACAATAATCTGTCTTTAAATAAAAGCGTTAAAGTTTTAGTGAAAAAAGCTTTGAATGTACAGAAAATTATATTTATAAATTTATTTACTCCTATAGGTAGAATACAACAGAGTGCCGCAGTTCAGTGAACAGTGGGATCAATTGCAGCGAGAGTTTTCTTGTTGTGGAGTAACAGGCCCACCTGATTTTGATAATCAGTGGCCCCAAAGTTGCTGCTCAACGGAAAACAGTAATAATTCAAGCTTAGAAGACAGTTTTATATCCAGTAATACTCTGAAAAATAACATCAGCAATCTGGCTTTACTCAACCTAAGACCTTGTTTAGATCCTTACACTCAAGGCTGCGATAATCAGTTAACTATTTGGTTGAAAAAAACAGCTGATCTCCTCTTTATTCTTGGTTTTTGTGTTATCGCTTTTATGAAGCTATGTTTTCTAGGGATATTGCGCTTTGAAATTCGTGAAATGATACAAAAAATTCAGATGATGAAAGAACCATTATCCTCAAACGTTCCACCTTCTCAAATTTCTTATCCACAGTTGAGACATCATCAGTTACTACAACAACACAAACAGCCAAATGAAATAGCTGTAAATTATGAAAGTATAAAGAAAAAGAAGCTTATTCCCGTTGTAACTACAAATATGTCTTTAGGTAAGTTTCTTTTTGTCTTTTCAAAATACTACATCATATTTTAGTATCATTTTATACAAATACATTCATAAAATTTGCTAACTCAGAACTGATTGTTAATAACAATCATGCGTGTTCATTAGAATCATTAAAGAAAGCATAAATAAATTTCAATTGACAACAATTCATAGAGTGAGCCTACATAAGGTAATCTAAAAACAAGGCTTTTGGTTACTCTGAATCTAATTTAGGACTTTTTATAAGTTGAAAGCAGATCCTAGATTCTCGGACCCACTTTTAACTATTGTTATGTTGGCGCAACGCATTGTTTGGGCCTATGCATGTGCTTAATAGCAAGAAATCTACACAGAACCGTACGTTGAGTTGTAGGGTACGGTAACCAACACATTGGTGCACTCTGGGTCTTACGTTGGAGATGACTGACCTTCAATTTCAGATGCGTTCTAAAAGCTGATATTTCAAATAGTGGCTTGTGCTACTAAAGTCACGTTCCCAAAATATGTATTTATTTAATGCACCAAAATATCTAACTACTGTTTCTGCCATCTAGAGAAGTAATAAATAATTAAACCGCAGTCCACTTACTCTTATTTCTTAATTTATCAGCCAGTGAGTAAGCCAAGTCCGCTAACAGCCAGGTAGCTAAGAGGCTCCCTGTAGTTTAGAAAAAGTATACAATTTTTGCTTTTACTTAACCGTTACCCAACTTGAGACACAGTAGCCTCATAGTAATTGTGTGGTAAATAAAATGTCTTCTATCAAGTCCACCATTCAAAGTAAAAATAAAAGCTCTCTTATAATGGACCATGAGATAGCAGAAAGATGGACTCTGACTATGAACTTTACTATTCAAGAGATGATTAACGTTTTTTGGGTATTATGAGTTATTGGTCTTGGTCACCAGCTGGCCTGAAATGACACAGAAAAGTTTGCCAGGGTCTAGAAAATCCTATAGTAACGATAATAGCTAATGACCTAATTAGTAAAAGCTGATCTAGTTAAGTCAATAAAAATCAGAACTTCTCACATATCTAGCTTGCTTATCTTCATACATCAATAGAAGTAAAGGAAATTCTATCACTTATGTCCTACCTTATGTTTGACATTTAAGATTTTACAAATACTTTCAATATACCAGTACCAACGTTAATGTAAATTTTTATTTACGTTTAAATACAAATTACTTAGATAAATGAACAACTATTAAAATGCGGCAGAAAATTGAGTTAAACTGAAAGTAATAAAATAGCCTAATTAAAAGGCAGTAGTTATGGCTGCAGCCTTCGTCACACTTTGTCTAGGCTTTGAACTGGTGATATAAAAATACCTAAACACTACAAATTTCACGTATTTCCCTATACATATGTACTTCATAATTCTTAAAAACTTTTGATGGTTTGAACAATAAACCTTATCTTGAACACTCACACTTTAAAATGATTAATACTTTTTTGTAGGACTCATGACACTTTTATTATTATGACAATAATATTAATATAAAGAAGATAGTAAAAATAATGCTGCGCTTGTCACAAGCTCTTGGCTTCTCTTACTTGTAAACATAACAAGATTTAAGAGCAGTTTTACATGAACGCATTGTTAGAAAAATCATTTTAAATGTTAGTTACATTTTAGCCAACTTGTTTTTTACTCGTAGTTATCAAAGAAGAGCTAAGCTGTCTATGCCCTGATGATTTAAATATTCCATTAACTATGTTAAAAGCAGCAGTACAAATACCCTCACTAAATTGCCAAAGAAGGTAAAGTGACATACAAGATTTTCTTCTCCGTGTTCCGTTACATGTTGAAAAAGTGAAAAAATTTCTTGTGATTGCAAAATCGGGCTATCATAGGCAAGTTATAAAATTAGTAGAAAAATGACGAATAACTTGATGAGTCACACATATGCTTAAATAAATAGTAAATGATTCCTTGAAAGATGAATACCATTCCTTTACTACATTTACGCATTAACATTTTTATGTATAGCTGTTGCTTACAATAGATTTCACGCATTGAGCTGATATGTCTTTATTTTATTATTCAACCTAAATACTTCTCAGTTCTATTACAGTGTAAATATTTTAATTTTTAATTATTTCTAGAGTTGGTTACATTTATCAGCGTTACTGTTCTCAGTTCAATTCTTGCATCCATTAGTTTTTTTGAGTTTTTCAACTTTTTTGTATGAAAAAACATTAAGTTTGCTCTTTATTTCGAGTCAGTATAAGCCAGCGTCCATAGGCTTAAGTCGTGTTTTATGGTAACATAATAATTGTGAGTAAACTTGCAAGTAGATGTACATGGGTTCATGCTTTTTGTGTTTTTTGTAATCTGTCTGAAAAAAATCCAAAGCCAAATTAAAAAAAAAAAACTAACTAAGACGTAGGAATACGTTCCTAAGATAACACTGTATTCCAATAAATATTTAACACAAAATACTTATTACTTCGTAATGATAAAACCGCTTAATCACGAAATGTAAATATGTGTAAGGTTTTCACGATCCTAATACCATCTTCTATTTGATTTGATTACTCTATACCCTAAAAAATTAATTAGGTTTCTTTTAAATGTGTTATTTTTACTTTTATTGATACTTTATTTTAAATTTTAAGTTTTTGGGGTCACAAAATGTGAATCCAGGGTCAGTTTACCCCTATCAAGCTGAGTTTTTTCTATAACTACAAGGATAGTCCAAAAAAGGAAAACTGTTTTTAGTAAAATTTTTTAATTATCCGATCATGAAAACAATTTAACAACATAATCAATAAACAATGACTGCAAAATACTAAAATTGCATAAGATTCTCACATTTTAACCACAATATCCCATAAGTGATGAGACTTAGTCATTTTTCAAGATTGTTACCTTTACCTTCAAGGAAAACGTAGTAAAAACAAGTTAACTGATAACTGCAAAAATTTAAAAGGAATAACGATGGTGCCGGGAAACCAGCTCAAGACAACCTGCAAAAGCCTTAAAGATAAAAGAAAATGGTGAAACAAAATAAAAAAGATAAGAAAAGTTTGCAATATTATTCTAAATACCTAAAAAGCAAAAAACTTCAAGTCAATGAGTAACTTTAAAATACGAGATGCAATGGGGCACACACTACTTAACCATCCCAAGATGTCAGAAACAAGGAGACTCGTGTTACTTAAGCAACTCAAGGAAAACATAAGCTTACTTTATGTCAACATCATTCTGTCTGGTTGAAGCTTCGATTAAGCTAAAGATATAAAACTAAAATTTTACATTGTTGAAAAGCTGATAGAGTAATTACTTAATTTAAAAGAGGCATTGTAAAGACAATTTTATCATAAATATTAACACTAAACATGCAACACGGCCAAACTTAAATTTCTTTGAAATTTACTTATGAACTGGAGTTAAAAGTGGAGATGTGCTAGGGTTAAACTATTATTGAGCTTTTTTTTCATGTTAAGATTTTAACTATTCAACTATTAAAAATGTTCAATCTTTTTATAATCCTTCTCCCAGGATTTTTTACATACAGTCTGTCTCTAGCCTTGTCATGACTTATTCCTATAAATTAGCATGATGGGGTTCCTGCTGTTATTTTTCAATAATTATCTTTTATATAAATCTGAGTAGTTATAGCTAGAGGCTGTCAATCAATTTGAAGTACCTGCTAGTTAGTGCAGGGAATACCTTACATGCTCAAGTCAGTTCAAAAACAAAAAAATCTTTTAGTATGTTTTGCCCACAGTTTCCAAGCTAATTTATTATTACGAATACTTTATCAATCTTTTTTACTTGTAGGCTTTACTCCATACTTCATTCTTAGACCTCTTTTATTTTTCTATTGCTAGAAGACTTCGATAAATTTGATACCTACATAATTATTACGTCAAATACTGTTACACATCTGTATGTTACATCCCAAGTTGATGCAGACGAATCATATTATAAGTAACAATGCACTTTATCTATCAAATTCATCCAAGACTTATTATGTAAATGTGCAAATACACAGGCTTATATGACGATTGGAGCTTGTACGTCACTTATTTGTGTGTATGTATGTTAGCTTTAAGGTGAATATTTCATAATATGCTGACATATAACGTGATCAGCCTTATTCTAAGTAGGCATGTATGTATTAAAGTTGTACGTTAAATATATGAATGCATAGATCGTATTGAATGTATAAATGAATAGGTTACTTGCGCATCAATTGTCCATTTCTAATAATGTATACTTATATAAGAATTATAATTAATACATTATTTCAACACATTCAAAATTGATTGTAAAATCCTTAAAAAAATTAGTTGCGAAAACTGTAAGCTTGATTGCCACACTTAAATTTTTATTTAGTATTTTTTTTTATTGTTGATGCAAGCTTGCGTCATCACTAATCCAAAAGTCTCAATCACCCTTGTCAGAAAAATGTGATTGGTACTATTATATTGTTAATTCCTAATACATGAAATCATAACATAAAATGTTATCATGCACGTTAACTGTTTTGCTGTTAACGCAGTCTGCAAAAATTTTGCTCATTGGTTCACCTGATTCAACCAAAAACCTCTTTTACTCGCTTTGGCGCTATAAAAACGAACCACAAATAAGAAAAATCGCTTTTTTCGTTTGTCACTTGTCCTCTAAAGCTTTATTCAACTTTTGACTCCCACAACTTTGACGTACCTTATACACGTAAGGCATAACGTATTGGTTGAGAAAACTCGGGTGTATTTTAAGGACATCAATAGTATCAGACTACGCTCAGGAGCGAGGTATTACCAAGGAGGCCCGCTGAAAGTGGTTCCAGAGATATTATAGAAAGCAGAAACTGCAACATCTTTCCAGCCACGAACTCCTTCGTGTATTTTGAGGGAGCACTGAAAATTTCTGCACAAAGCATGAAGGAATTTCAAAGCAGCCATATTAACAATCAGAGATAAATGTAAATTATTTATCATTAGTATAGTTAATACCAAACCTTGTTTAAGTGATTATATTTTAGAGAATGA